ACTGATCTACTTTTGTCATTAAAACATAAATATCTGGTTTCATTAATTGTTGTAGAACTAATGAAATTGGTCTCTGCATATTATTCCTATTGATCCAGTTTCTCTGTACAATGCTGATGTTGTTCGTACTTTTTATTTACTGATAATACTGATGCTTTTGTGCAATACATGAAAATATTATCAAATACAATTGAAATATTTATGCTAATGTAAATAGAAATGAAGTCTTTGATCATTTATCATTGACAATGTGACAATACCGAGAAAAATTCATCAAAGTTATTTTATTTTCTTCATTCTGATAAGTTGAATATAAGCTAAAATAAAAGACATTAGAGCCATGATTGTTAATACAAAAAAAGTTCTTCCACAAATGATCAAGTTCTTGCTTATCAAGTATTTCATCACCTGTCAATGGACAGATATTAGTTGCATTTGACCAACAGAAAGTGAGACCTTGAAAATCACTAATAGTAAGCATATCATGAGAGTCAAGAAAAGACACTTGATAAATCGACAAGAAATCCAGTAAACATTATCATAACGACAAGAATGAGAATAATAGTAATTAAAACCACGGCTACAAGAGTAAATAGACATAGAAAAATGTACACAGAACAATATTTATTTTGAGAGAATTCTAGATAGCAGATATATCAAATGTTGACTAGGATGGTAAAGATCGATATTTATTTTTTGTTTATCATAATGTTTATCTCTCTTATCTCCTGAAAAATTCAAACTCAAATATTAAGAAACTTCAATATTAATAATGAAGTCATTATTTTTAACAAAATTTTCTTTTCTTTCAAACTACAAACGAAATTAGTAACATTATTTTTTCTTTTATAAGACAATCTATATAAGAAGATAAGGAAACAAAAAAGAAATGTCGATAAAAGTACATTGTCTCTCATTCAGTTTTAATTTTATTCCTTAGCAGGTTCGATAAACAAATCAAATTACAAAAAATGTCAACCGGAATCAAGGGTATGACCAATTCTTACAATTCGAATTCGTGTCCACAGATGTATGCAATTGAACTTTCAATACCTTTCATTCAACGAGCGATTGAAGTTCTTGATCTTTCTTCTTTACCATCGACGCAACTACTAATTATTGCTGATTTTGGTTCATCACATGGTTTAAATTCAATGTATGCTATGAAAGTAATCATTGAATATTTGAAAACATCTAAAAATAAACAGCGATCAATTCTTGTCATTCATAACGATTTACAAACGAATAATTGGACAATACTCTTCGATCTACTCAATAAAGACAATAGTTATTTTTGGTTTAGCAAATGGTCGATCATTTTATGAACAATGTCTAACATCAAATTCTCTATCTATTGGCTACTCTTCTGCGTCACTGCAATGGACGTCATGTAAACCATGTAATATATCAAATTATTGTGTCTCATTATTTTGTTCAAATGAACTTATTCCTAGTGGTGTACTTATTCTTTGTTTTCCTTGTTTAAATGATAAAGGATTATTTGATTTTGAAATTCTTTTTCAACTTTTATACAAATGTGTAACTTTATTATCGCTAACAGAACAAGAATTACTCGATTAATCAAGTCTGAATTGTGTGATACTAATAGAACAGATACATTTACTCGATTTCAACAAGGAAAATTAGCATTGGATGTATTTTTAAAAGATCAAGCTCGATTTTTACGTAATTGGGCTGAACCATCATTACGAGAAACATTAGAAAGAAATAATCATCGTTTAAAAGAAGAAGTCGAAACATTACTAGATGAATTTTGAAATTTATACGAACGAGAAGTAAAATAACTTTCAAATCAATTCGATTTGTCTTGCTTTTATGCCTATTTAATAATTGAAAAAGATTTGATATGATTACTAATTTTGTAATATTAAGAAAAAAAAGATTAAGAAGTTTTTGAGAGTGATATGAGAGTTGAGCATTTTACTATGAATTTAAGTGACATATAAATAATCATCTTACGTACACTACAAGCTATCATAATATCACATTGTTTACTAACGACTATCATTGCATTGAATTAAAAAAAAACTAAAAACACTGTTCGTTACGAAATTTCACCTTTCAAAGTTGAAGGCTTAAGAGTCTGAAATTTTTTAATTATCATGATAAAAATATATCTTTTCCCTAATTTACGAGTAGTTCTATCGTTCAAGTAATCAAGTTTTGTTTTCATAACGAATGTACATTCGAATTAATGATTATCTTTCAGACAAAAAATACAATTTAACAAGATTTAAAATCATACAAATTTATTATATATATATATGATGAAAGAAAAATAGGGACTATATCACTCATAACTAAGGTATCTCATAACTTGAAAAATGTTCGTTGATTCATCGATAGTGTACATTCGAATGCAAGAGTGATCGTTAGCTGGCCATGCCCACTACTAAGCAAAAGTAAACTTCTTTAATGCGTGATCACTCAAATTTTCTTATACGGCTATATACTATCAATAATGAAAAAAATGAAATATAGGAAAATTTCTTTTCCGAAAAATATTTTAACTTGTTTTTTCTATTTTAGTTCCTATATCTATATGTCTATATTCCGATATATTACTTACTCTCAATATTTTGAGTTTTATTAAAAGTTCGCTCATATGATCTCAAAAGAAGAATAATTATGCGTATATGAGTTTTTTTGTATTCTTTGCTTTATAATTTAATTTCAGCGTGTTTTATTTATATATATTTACAATTTTTCGAATTAGAATTATATGTTCACCGATAATTATTTTACTTATAATTTCTATTTGAATATTTGATATCATGACTATATTGCTTATAATCATATGAATAGTTGATTATCGAAAAAGATGAGTTTTTATAAAATCTTATACTATATTCGAATTCTTTTTTCTATATCGTTTAAAATTTTCCAAATAGAGACACATGAATCATATGAAACGAAAATTAAGTTTTAATCAATTATCCGAAGAAAATACAAAGAAATTACGAAGTAAAGTTATTTCACTAGTAACATAAAATTTTTTTTTTCTGACATAATATAGATGAGTTGTTGAATCAATTAATAATTTCTTCTATTGAAAATTTATCGAACAAATTATTCTATGAAATATTCGATTATATGTCAAGCATTTTCAAACTTTAATTATCGTTTGTCAACAACTTCTTACATCTTCATCTATTCTATTTAAAATTGATCTTAATCATCTAACATCGAAAGAAATATTTATGATTAATTATAAACAAATTAAACATAAAATATNGAGAGCTGTGGATGCAGCTGATTACATATAATGAATCACATGGATAATTAATGACGAACTTTTACATGCCTGATTTTCAGTTACAGTTATGCTTTCATCCGATGATCATTCCCAAAGAAAATTTCACTTTTACTTTGAGAAAGAAGTTTTGATAATTTTCGTTTTGTTCTATATTCGGCCCATTTCAGCCCATGGGTGATCCTTTGAAATTTCGACCCATGGGTGCCCATTAAAATTTCGGCCCATGGGTCGAATGGGCCGGGCTGGGCCGGGCCCATTGAGACCTCTGATATCTTATAGTTGTATTTACAGAACATTATTTCATTTTGATCTAATCTACTTACTCCTGTCGATATTGCATTGCAATCAAATTGATTTGTTGTATTATGTGACACCGGTTGAGTCGAATTATCAGTTTGTTCTTGTTTCAAAATATCATGAGCAGCACTTAACATTACTACATAACCAAAATTATTGCAAAGGCCAAGAAGCCTAAAATATGTCAGATTCATATAATACAGTCATGTGTTGGATAAAATCAAAAGAATGTACCAAAAACCAATAAATTCAAGCCACCATTTTCTACGTTCTGATCGATTACGATCACCTGCACTTGAAAAAGCGTTCATCATCGAAAAGAAAATAATAACAACCAAAAGATATTAAATGTTTTTTTCTCTATGGTATAATAATTAATTTATGTGAACACACGGAATTTTTATTTTTAAAAAGACCAAAAAAAAAAAACAAACAAAGCGAATCAAATAGTCATATACGAGCAAATGACAGTTTGTGTCAAGCCATTTTTATTTCATTTAAGCAATGACCATTTGATTTGCTCTTTAGCATGATTGAGTACCTAATAAAACAAATATTTAGAAGAAATAAAATCTTAAATCATGCAATCACTGCAAAAAAATCCCATCATCATGCTAGGCTATGGGTTTTTTTTTTTATTTCAATCAATTACACAATTATTCGTACATCAAATGTCGGATGGAATATAGATAAAGTTGTCAACGTCTAAATAATTGTAGGAGCGAAGAAAAAAAAAATAAGCAAAATCAAGAGCTCGCGTATACACACACACATATATATCATTTCTATATTTTCTATCAATCGGCATTGAGTAACATATTGAGTCCCTGATAGAGAATCTGATGGACAAAAAAGGGTAAATATATCTCTTATTTTATTTTATTCGACACTAATTTTTTTAAATATTTAAGTACTTACTTGTGAAACAGTTTGTTCGCCTAATGGAATATCATCTTGACGTAGCTGAACACGTTGAGTAATTAATATTGGATCTGATTCGAGAATAATTCTTAAAAAAAAAAATAAATAAATTCTATTATTTATTCAAAGAAAAAAAAATAATAAAACGAATTGAATATTTTACCCATCATCACACATTTCATCAAGTGTAAGCATAACTAGATCAAGATTTTCATAAAGAAATTTTTTTTCAACATTTTTTCTTAACATTGTACTTAATGATTCAAATAAACATGTTAATACAGTATTTAACATTAACTAAATATTTTCAACATTTTTAAAAGAAAAAAAAAAGATTTTTTATATTAAATTAAAAAAAAAACAAATCTCATACTTCATTTTCATTTGTACTACCCACAACATAAAAAAGTAAATCAACATTATTTCGATAGACAATTGTTAAATTATCAAGAAGAATAACATCTCCTGAACCTTTATGTGTTTTAGTAAATAATGATTTTTCAAATTCTTTTTGTTCTTTTACTGTAGAAAATAATTGATTATAATACTAAATTGAAATAATAAAATAATGAATATATTCAAATATAATTTAATTTATTTACTTTAGCTAACATACGATTACCATCATTATCTAAAATAATAATTCCTTTAATCACATATAGTGACGGTACCTATAAAATAGGAAAAATTGTAAGTTTGAAGAATTAAAAATAACAAAAAAAATGAAAACTTACAAAGATACTTTCTAATACCATATTACTAATTTAAAAACTAAAATTAGAGTAATAAAGTATGTGTTTGTTAATGTACCGTCTTTATCTGAAGAAAAAAAATGAGAGAGAGACAATATGGCATGACTCAGGGTCCAGAATTGTTTGCTCACTTTATTTCAACCATCTATAAAACACATCTAAAAGTAATTCGGACACGAGCGACAACTATTGATGTTCTTTTAAAGGATTTACTTCAGTCTATAAACTATGTTTCTTCTCTTTCGATGATTATTTTATTCTTATCAAACGTTTGCTTAACTATAAATCTCATTTTTCTAATATAATATTGGTAAACTTTTTTTCCGTGCTCTGTATCCTAACTCAGATCATATTATTAGAGTCGACTTTGGATTCAAAGCTTTAACTTTTGTCGGATCCGGATCCATGGCCAGATTAATTTGTAGATTAGGTTTGTATTCATTTTTGAGTCTAAATAGAGTTTCAGAACATTATTATTACTTGTTGAAGAAAGGAACAGCCCAGTTTTTTTTTACCTAGATAAAAGTTGCATTGCTTGGCTTGTTTTGTGGTAAATTTCAGAGCACGGAAACGAACAGAATCTGAATTACAAAATTCAGTATGTTTTGGGTTAGTATAAAATGATTTTTTTCATTTTTTTCTACACCAGTCACATAATGTAAAGTATAATTCGTCGTGTGTCACAACACGAATTACAAAGAATTTGATGATAAATATTATCACTATGGCAACACATGCATTAGCAACTAAATAAAAAACAAATAATCACCCCAATATTCATTCCGTTAACATGGAAAGATACGTCAATCATTTTAGTAAGGTTACAATTATAGCTGATTGATATATCGCCCTGATTCTTCAGTATTATTGCCGAATGTACATGAAAAATCTATCTGTAACTATAATTAGTATACAATTCTGTTCATCCCATACCCATTTTCCTCAAAACAAATATTTCTGAACAATGAATGCGTATCTCTAGCTATTATATAGAATGATCAATAAATAATTTAACGATAAAAAAACTTCGAATATCTTCACTTGGTTTCAATCAAATGGGCTACTGTTTTCTTGATTGATGATATAGGTGTGTTCAAAGTTTTTATTTATAAGAGAAGCATAACAAATACTCTTTTGAATTATTATTATTAACTTCTATTTGGATATGTATCCTTGTACGAGATTAACATCAATTCAAGATTCTCTATTTGATTCAACTAATTTATTTTTAAATCATCAGTAATGCCAAACTTGAAAGTTGAATAATCATTCCAACTTTCTAATTATTCTGAAAAGGCATATTCATGAGGCATCTTGATGGAGGATAGGTGCCAAGAAATGTCAATGTGCTCAGCATAGAAACAAATATTGAATATTTGAAGTAACTTCAATAAATGAGTCCAAATTTCAAGTTTGACATTAAAGATCATGCGTAAGACGTCAAACATTGTTTGTGAAGGAAGTTGAGTGTCTTCTTTGTTGGATTGAGTTGTTTTTTTTTTCTTAAAACAGAAAGATATATTTATAGCATTATCTTTTCTGTCATAGAATTGACATATGCCATGAATAAAGTGTTAAACATCGTTATATCAACAACATATCTAATATGAATAGATATTCGAGCGTTTTCTTCGTAGACTCAACGGTGCTTTTTTGCAAAAAAAAAAAAAAGAAAGATATTTTCCTAATATTCTCTTTTGCACTTGAACAAGAATGTGTAAAATAATTGAGACGTCAAGTATCTTCTCAGTGAAGCCAAACTGTTTTGTTGTAGAAAATGCCTTTGATATCTGAAGATTCTCCTAGAGATGTTTAGATGGATATATATACGTTCAGTCAGATGACAAACATTATAACGGGTGGATCGAAAGTTTTCGCACAAAATGTTTGCTCATATCTGACCCACTTGAAAATATTTCAGACGAGTCGAAAACTATGGATTAGAACCAGAATTTTGTGCTCTTTCTGAATATGAACTTGGAAATTTTGTATCTATTTTTGTTCAAGAACAGTGAAGAAATCTTTGAAAGGCCTTAAAAATTAATTTGGACGACGCATAAACAGCTTTTTTCTAGCCCATATATGTCCCTTTGGGAAGATGCTAAAAGTTATCGGACACGGTATTTTGTTAGAGCGGACACTTATTTACAAAGTGGGATATTGAATTAAGTTGTAGCTTTAACACAAGTGAAGTTATATGTATTTTGTCAGAAGCTCCTTTTTGTGAAAAACGTCTTTTGGTCAAAAAGTCGATTTCTCATAAATTAGGGTATGGGAAAAACAAAAATTGAGAAGTCTTGCCTAAAGACTAAAAAAAACTCAAATAGTACGATTCGTAGTGCAGATTTTGCTCTACCAGTTGATAGAGTAATAAAGGTTCCAACTTTTAGTTTCGAATCACAATAGTTAAAATATAAAAAAGTGTGAAAAAATTTCCCGTCCAAACAAATTTTTCAGGCCTTTCAAAGGATCCCTCACTACTCTCGAATAAAATCTGACAAAAAATTTCCAAGTTCATATTCAGAAATAGTACAAAATTTTGGTTTTAATCCATATTTTTCGACTCGTCTGAAATATTTTCAAGTGGGTCAGATATGAGCAAACATTTTGTGCGAAAACTTTCGATCCACCCGTTATCCAAAGAAAATACAAAGAAATTACGAAGTAAAGTTATTTCACTAGTAACATAAAAATTTTTTTTTCTGACATCATATAGATTAGTTGTTGAATCAATTAATAATTTCTTCTATTGAAAATTTATCGAACAAATTATTCTATGAAATATTCGATTATATATCAAGTATTTTCAAATCTTAATTATCGTTTGTCAACAACTTCTTACATCTTCATCTATTCTATTTAAAATTGATCTTAATCATCTAACATCGAAAGAAATATTTATGATTAATTATAAACAAATTAAACATAAAATATTATTCAATTTATTTTCAATACTCAGTCGATATTCATCAATTATTAATATCGTTTATTATCGATTCTTCATTTAATTGTCTTCAATCACTTATTATTGAAGATATTCAACCAGATAAACTTATTTCATTTCTTATTAATTTAAATTCTTTACCACAACTTTTCTCATTAAATATCAGAACAATACATATCATTGATGATCTAAATAATATTTATCGATTAATTTTTGTATTACCTACATTAAAATATAACAAACTCTATTTATATGAAAACGAATGTTCAATTTCAATTCCAATAGGTACTGAAAAACAATTTAGTACTATTGAATATCTTCATATCGCTCATTGTTATACATTCGATGAACTTCATGCTTTAATTTCTTATACACCAAAACTTCGTCATCTAAATCTTTCACATGAAAATCAAGATGATTCAACTATTGAAATCATGTTACCAATTACTTTAGACAATTTAACATATATTTCGATGTATACAAACTATATTAATTTTGATGAATTTGAAATATTTATTAAACATATATATTCGAATTTAAAAACTTTATATGTTACTTTTTTATATCAAGATATAGCTTTTCTTTATGCTCATCGATGGGAACAATTAATTTTACGATATTTATCTCAATTGAAAAAATTTTCTTCAAAATATTATGAATATAAATATTCTTTATGTAGTTTGTCCATACAGGTATATTGCAGAAGATTATTTTATATGCATATAGATTGTTTTTATTTCCAGAAAAAGATGGTATGAATATAAAAATTCTACTGTTGAATATTTAAAATCTACTCAGTTGACTATCAAATACGTTTTTTTCTGGTAAATCTGCTAACAATTTATTCATCTATATTAACCGTATTTTAAATATAGTACAAATTTATCATTTGGATATTCAACAATCAATTTCTATTGATAAATTAATGCAAATTATACATTTATTACCAGATCTTATTACATTAAAAATTAATTCTTTAACATTTTATCGATCATTAATAAATGAAAAATTTTCTACAACATGTTCAATAGGACATGCAAGTAAGATAAAAATAAGTTTATATGGAGAAGATGCAAATAATTCAAGAAATTTATTTTCTTTTTAATGTTTGTCCTCATATAGAATTTCTTAATGTCGAATGTATTAATGGTATGACTATTGAATTATTTCTACGAGATATTTTAAACAAAATTAATTTAAGATCATCATAAAGATCTTTGTTTATTATGTATTTATGTTTCCAAAGCAGATGATAATATGATTAAAAGATTAAACAAAATGATTGATAATGAAAAACTTTGATCAAATTACACAATTCATCATGAACTTGATAATATCTATTTACAATGGAAATGATTTTTATTTCGTAGACCTTTTTTTGTTTTTTTATATAACATCTTCTCGTTTTTATTGTTAAAAATGTGTACAAGGTACTTAGAAAAAGATGTTAATGCTGAATCAAATAAACTATTTCATATATACAAAAAACAACGAATAACGGATAATGATTCATTGGATATTTTTTGCATAGAAGAGAACTAAAGAATAGGACGTGAGTGATGTAAGATTTCAATTGTTTTTTTTTACTTGTCATCTCATAATCATCGATTCTGTAGAGTTCTTTCTTAAAGCACAAAAAATCGTTTGATCAAATTAATTTGTCAATTAGATTTCACATCAATATTTTTCATTTGTGTAATATAGATTTCTTTCAGATCAAATTAGTCTTTTCGCATTCTATCTGTTTCTTATGAATAAAATATTTATTATGTTGGAAACAAAAGATCTAAAAACAATTTAGTAAAATAGATTCGTTAATTTCAAGGCATGAGATGTAGTCTATCAAAATAAATCCCACTATTTGATATTGACACTCATGTATTAGATGATTATAATCAAGGTCGGATGGATACTAATTTTGAGAACTCTTGCATACACTTTACGTATTGAGTATATATACAGTTTTACCTGTAGTTGATTCATCAAGAAACAAGATCTTGGGCGGTAAAACTAATTCAATACCCATGCAAGTTCGTTTCTTTTTCACCACCAGAAACACTTCGAAGAAATTCAGTATCTACACGTGTGTCGAGGGTGTGGGTGTGGGTGTGGGTGTGGATTGGCTGTGGATGAGTATGGATGTGGGATGTGGGTGCAAATATGAGTCTTGTCTGTCTTACTGGAAGTACACGCACATCCGCATGCACACCCACACCCACACCCTGTGTGAGTTCTACAAAATATCTGTCAGTCTGTATATGTGAGTACCTGTGTGTAACATCCTTTTGAATCATACACAGAGGGGAGCTTTAGCATAAGCAGGTGGACACGCGGTTTTTTGCTGACAATTGACTTTCATTTCACTACTAATGACAAAATACCACTCAGAAAATGGTTTTTAAGAAAATAAAAGAGTTTTTCAAGAAAAAACTTTTTCGACAAAATATCGCTCGGTGGCACCCAGCCTTTTTTTCAAAAAATTCTTTTTGTAAAAGCATGTTGAGCTACATGGAATTAGATGTAGTTTAATGCACTGATTCCGAATAGCATCTTAGTTTTTCCTCAAAGTATAATATGAATGGTGAAAACTGGATTTTCGGTGAAAGACCTGTGATTCGAAGAAAATCGCTAAAATAACCTAGGAAAGATTTCACTAATTAGCGCTGAAATCCGATGCAGTTTGACGCGCTAAATTCCAAATATCGCCTTTATTTTTCTTCAAAGTATAACATGGGTGCCTGAAACCGAGTTTCTGACCAAAAGTCATGGGGTTTTAGAAATTCTGTAGAATATTCTAGAAAAAATTTCATGATTTGGCGCTACTACCATTATTAGGATACATATTAAGGTGTATCTAGTAAAAATTTCAGCTCGATCGGACATGACTGCTGCGTAGGGTTTTCAAAGTCCGAAACGGCAGGGTTTCGAGCCTGGATCTGCGTTGAAAATAGGTCAAAAGTTTCTTTAAAACCTATTATATATATATGACTCGGTGCAGCTCGACAAGCTGATTCTGAATATCACTTTAATTTTCCTTGAAAGTGTAGCATGGTTGTCTAAAATGGAATTTTTGCTCGGAAACCTCGGATTTTTAGTCATCCTCTCCAATAGCCTAAGAAATGTTTCAAGAGTTGACGCTACTGCAGTAATTAGGATACATATATACATATATCTGGTAAAAATGCACGCTCGATCAGACATTATCTCTTAGTAGGGTTTTCAAAATACGGCACGGCAAGCTTTCAGGTAGGGTTTCCGTATAAAGACTCGTAGTTTTCTACCTTATTTTAAATTGGATTGCATTATTTTCTTTTTAACATAAAGTCCATAGGTGAGCAAGTTTTTCTCGATATTGTTTCCTTGTGGAACATCATATTATCTTGCCGAGTGGCTGACTTTCTTTATTTTTACCGTTTTCTGGGCCCAAGCTTTGTTAGGCTCTTTTAGAGCTTTATAAAACTTTGAGAACCGCTATTTTAGGAAATGATGGATGACATATGTATGTATCTACGCAAATGCTTAGACTGTGGAAAAGAATATTTTCGCATATGTCTGCGTGCCTCCCCACTATGCCATAGTCTCTGTTATATTACGATTCTCTTTTTTGGGGTTTGATTTTTCCTCGACAAAGTAGGCCAGAGTCTGAAAAATAACAACTAATTTTTTTTTGACTAGGTATGTGTATCTTACTGAACAATTTATAAAACTACTGTCTATCTAATTGTTATACTTATTTTCATTTTCCGATTTGTATAAGCATTTTTCTCGTCATTTTTCAGTTCTTTGACTTCCAACTGCTGGAGTTTAACTAAATTCATAGGCATCTTTCTTGGCATCCTGTACGAAGTGGCATTTTTTCTTTGCAGAAACAGCTCTAGGCTGCAAAATGAGAAATAGATGTGACATCTTAGTGCGACTGTAATTC